AAGAAGAGTTTTACGGTAGTTGGAACACGAATAGATCATTTAGGTGATGACAATTAGAAGTATCACACAAAAAGAATTGGGGACGAGTTTGGGGTAGAGTTTTACGGCACTTGGGAACACAAATAGGTCATTTAGGTGGTGAACATTAGAGATTTTGCTGGAGAGTAACAAACAAAGAAAAGGAAGAGGACAGGTAAGATGATAGGTATTTAACAAGAAAAGGGAGGGGCGGGGGAACCCCACCAGAGCACCCACGGGGGCTCTTTCGGTCTAGAGGTTTAGGTGTTCGCCTCTCATTCAATACGTCCCGGGTTTGAATCCGGATAGAGTTGGAAACATTTTCGTCTCTAAAATTTTCTCCTTCCTTTCGCCTCCTTTCCTGCTCTCTAACACGGTTCTGTCATCTGTTTTCGTCTTCACTTTCTGCCCCCACCCTGTCACTTCCTTTGACCCCTCCTCTGGGTTCCTGACTCTTTCTGTAGCCTTTCTACAGCTACTCCTTGGCTCCTTCTTAATGCTGTCTTTCAGCCACACCCCTGATCTTAGGGTTGGAGAAATCTACACCTAACCTTCTCGGATAAGGGCGAAACTCCTCAGAGGTCCTGTGTGCAAGTTGCGCACGTTAAAGATCCCTTGGTGGTCCAAAATCGACAAGAGTAAGCTTCGGCCGGCACCCGGGTAAAATTCAAAATTTTTTTCCCACTGAAAACGTTTAATGTATCCTGTGCGCTCTTTTGACCTTATGCAGTTGCGAGCGCCGTAAACACTTACCAAAAAAAGAGCACTCACCATCCATCCACTGTCACAATTTAGATCGTTATGAATTACTGTAGATGTTTTGCCGCTCAAGAAGCCAGCCGACATCGTGACAAGACAAAGCCAAAGAGTTTTACGGCACGTGCAGTACATTAAGGTCATATAAGTGCCGAAGATTTGAGGTGTTACAAAAAAAAGGAAGTGGGAGGTTGGCAGGTGCTCTGCTGTGGTTTGCTTCTTCTGTTCTATCAAACATCTATCGTCCGTATCTCCCCTTCTTCTTTTTTATGTTTGTTACTCTCTTGTAACACCTCTAATCTTCAGGCGCTCATATGACCTTATGCAGTTGCGAGCACCGAAAAACCTATACTAAAACAACAACAAAAGTAATAAATTCAAAAAAGGAGGAGAGATCTGACCGACAGACGTTTGATA